CGTGATAGCTGGGTGGTCCCACTCCCCGGAGTCCCCCCCCGCCCGCGGTGTGGGGGGGGAATTTGGGGGGTGGAAAGCCCCCCCTTTTAAAGGTTGCTGAGGTTGAGGAACCCTGATGTAGCATATCCCCTTTAAATGTTACACCATACCCAAGTCTCCATATTTATAAGTCTTTTGTGTAGACAAAATTTACAATATTTGCTTGAACAATTCAGACTCTCTTTAAAAACCTGCTTTAAGTATCTGACATGTGTCACAAAAGCCAATCAGTAGACTTTTTACCCCAACAAGTCCCCTATCTACTGGGCCTACCATTAGATCTCTACTTTCAATGGATTTTCACAAAAGTGTAATAGAAACAGAACATACTTAAGTAGGAAACTTTCATGACAACTGTCACCGATGTCATCATCACTAAGCACTGTATCACTTATCTGGAATATAATGAAAACAAAGGAGAAGAGGATTTGTTTATTATGAAAACCACCACATATGAACGTATTATTGATTACAATGAAATTTTAAAAGATCTCAACCTCTTCTGAAAATTTGTCATAGTAGAATGTTAAGAATAATACACTGCAGCCCACATTAACAAGCATTTCTGCCAGCCTAAGAAGCATACCGTTAGTCAAATTTCTTATTCAACCCAAAATTTGATTCTGTCTATCAAATGTACTGTTCTATCCCTTTATCACCAATATAGCACATGACATTTCAAACCTGATATGCTGTTATTGTTGCAGCTGAAGTCTGAATAAGGAAGATGGAATAAATATGGTATGGAAGATACAGAAGAATATGGTATAATACAACCAATTTCCTGGAACTAAAAAACAAACAACAAAAAACCCCACAACTATAGAAAAGGAAATTTTGCATTACTAAACATATTTCTACCCCATACGTTTCTTATAATATCTATATCGATATACTTTTTTCATTGATATCTTTATAATCCAGTACAAGATACCATGAGCCTCCCAGAGCCGTTTGGGAGTTGGGTGACGCCTAAATTGAATACATAAATAAATATTTCAACACTAAAGATACGCCAGGATTCTCTCCTAGAATTAAAACTTTTGCCAATTTATAACGAATTGCACTTTGATAAAACTCTGCATCCTGCATATTCAAAAAGACAAAGAACGAAGTGGTGGAGATTGCATCCATGCATTCTCCTGGGCAGTGTAAACAGACTGCCACTGCCTTCTTTCAGGCTTTTTTTTTTTTAATTTTCCAATTTAGTCAATAGACTTGGAATTCTCAAGTGGTCCACGCCCTAAGCATTGACCAGATTTGATCTGGCTTAGTTTCAGAGATAACCAACATCAGCCACCTGCTGGGACTTTAAAAGACATGCTTTGATTTTAAATGTATACATTCTGCATTTTTAAACAGGCAGAGGTATAAATTGTACATTATACACTGTTATTTGCCTAAATATGGTTCAAAATAGTGAAAAGAACAAAAGGAGTCAGGTGCTTCCTTTCATGGTATATGTGTGTGTGTGCACTGTCAAGTAAGCTTTTGACTCCTGGTGACTGCCTGGACTAGTCCCTGCAGTTTTCTTGACAAGGTTTTTTGGAAGTGGTTTGCCATTGCCTCCTTCCCAGGGCTGAGAGGGAATGATTGGCCCAAGGTCACCTAGCTGGCTTCATGCCCAAGATGGGACTAGAACTCATGGTCTCCTGGTTTCTAGCCTGATGTCTTAACCACTACACCAAACTGGCTCTCAAAATTAGTTTTTAATTAATTGAATTATTAATTTAATTAATTTTTCATAAA